TAGAAAAATGAAACTGTCTTAGCTGAAGATGACTCCTATACTGCCAAAATTTATATTTGTGTCTCCTGGTCTTACTATTCTCACTATTAAGTATGAAAAAAGGTGATGTGTCAACACTATCAATTTCCTTTACAATCTAAGACACCTCAATCAAATCCCTTCTAACTATTCTTTTTTCAAGAAAAATAAAATTTGAGATGTTTCAGCTTCTCGTCATAAGACAATCCCACCATCCCAGTAACCTTTCTCTGAACCCTTCTCAACAATACAGTGTCCTTCCTAAGTTTAGGAGCCTAAGACTGATCACAATACTCCAAATATGGGCTAATTAGTGACCTATACAATGAAATTATAACCCTACAATTAGCAACAGCACATTGCTTGGATGGCTTAAAAGACTAACTATTACATCAAGATCCCTTTCTTTCATGACATTGTTAAGGTTATTCCCATCCAAATTACACTTATATTTCAAATTATGATAACCCACATGCATTATCTTGCATTCATTATAATTAAAATCCATCTGCCATTTATTTGCCCAACTCACTAAATGATCTAAATCCTTTTGTAAATCAGCAGCATCCTCTTCACAGCAACATCCAAGACCATAATATCATCTGCAAATTTAAGTAATTTGTTGACCAGGGTTGAAATTCTGCTAGTACTCAGCAATACGGAGTACTGGAACTTATTTTTTAAGGTGGTACTAATACCGGGACTCATTTGAGCTGCTTTGTTGTTTTTTTATGTTTACATGTAGATTTTTCTTTTCTTTTTCAAGAACAAGTCCACTTCACCCAACTGAGTACCTCTACTTTTTTTGAGAATTTCACCCCTGTTATTGGCCATTCCTTCATCTACGTTACTGATGTAAATCAAAAAGAGCAAAGGTTCTAAGACTGAGTCTTGAGGTACCCCACTTGTAACATTAATCCACTTTCACTGAACTCCATTTGTAACAACCCTCTTATTTCTTCTATCCAATTTGCTAACTTATCCCCCACACCTATAGAGATAATTTATTTACAAGCCTTTTACATGGTACCTTGTCAAGTGCTTTGTGAAAATCCAGATACACCAAATCTACACCATTACCCTTATCTACATAAGTAGTAACCTTTTCAGAGAATGTCAAAAGATTTGTAAGGCAAGATTTTCCCTTAGTGAAATCATGTTGATTATCCAATAAAATTTTAAACTTTGTTAATGGCTTTGCAAAGCATCTTTTATCAGACTTTCCAAAACTTTTCCCACAACTGATGCAAGACTAATGGGCCTGTAGTTACTGGGACAATTTTTATCACCTCCCCAGAAAAGAGGAGTGACATTAGCTAACTTCCAATCTTCCAGTAACTACTCGCTATTCAAAGGCAAAAAAGTAGCAAGTTGCTCATATATCCAATCCATAACCTCCTTCAAAACCCTTGGGGAAATATTATCTGGCCCAGATGTATTATCGTTCTTTAAACTTCCCAATGTTTTCTTAACAAACTCAGAATTATTGAAGTTATATTGTTCAATCTTGTTTCCATCTATCAACTGCAACAGTAGTACAGCCCCCAATTTTTATGTGGCAAAATTTTAAATTATATAACCCATACCTAAAATATAAGCAGCTTGAAATAACGACATTTAACTTTTTAACAGGACATTAGACCTAATGTAATTCCACCATCAACAGCCATTTAATTTTTATTTTGTATGAAATAATAGCAATAAACATTTAGAATAGAAATCTTGACAGACCATTAAGCAGACTGTATTGTACAGTGTATGCTGATAAATTTGAATCGTATACAGAATATCATTATGAAGTCAACCACTGAGTATGTGGTCATATGTAAGTATGCAAAAATTGGTGTGGCTGCATAAATGCATTAATCTTAAAGCTATATTCTACATAGAATTACTGTCATTATTATTTAAGTACTCTAAATACATGGCAAAACTCCATAGTTTAGATGTTTTACTTATATACAGGATGTGTTTAATGACTTATTTGTATCAAAATTGAAAAATGTTGTTTAATGATTCCAAGGTTTAATCAAAACAAAAGTAAATTATGTCCAAGATTCTTTCATCTTCCAAAAAAAGCTGTTTATTCATGTAACTGAGTTATTCCACCGAGTAAACTTTCAAAAGTGAAAAACACTTTACTTGGTCTGTGGCTCAATTGTAGATTAAAAAACTTACTTTGAAAGAGAGAGAATATTACTTTTTTAGTGTCTGTGGGAATTCAAAAATATGTTTACATTCCATTTTTGTTTTTCTTTGAAGAGTAATAATGGAATGAATTGTGTGTGAAGATACATTTAGTTCACTGTGAAACATGAAACTGGATTAGTAAGATAGATAATACTCAAATATAGGAGTTAAAATAAATTTGATACTAGTTATTACTAATGAAATTAGAGTGAGAACATAGGTGAGACTCTGCTAAAGTAGGTGTTAAAATACTAGTAATTTCTAGCCTCTTGGTCACTTGGTGATAAATCTGTGGGATGATAATGCCAAAATTGTTTTTTCTTACCTGCATTGGACATAGCAAAGATAGCCCATTGTATAACCTTGTGCTTAACAAAACACAAACTTATCACTATTGAAAGTAAAATGAGAACATAGATAATTAAGACTTAAGAATACGAGTTTAAAAAATTCATAATGTTAGAAAAACATTTAGGTTCAAGAAGTCTTGATAGAAATGAATAAAAACTATAATCCAAGCACTTTTGAAAGGTGGACCTTTCTTCTTCAGGGGCAAACTGGGAATGGATTAAAAAAATGATACTAGTTATTAATAATAAAAAATAATTTTTTAATTTCTTAAAGAGGGAGTGAGCAGCATTTTAAAGGTTGTGAAATACTATTTTTATGATATTGAAATAGGCTTATTAAAGGATAGTGGAAGGATTATCCCCTTTCAAAAATTACTATACACTGGGAAGATTTTTGATTTTGCTATTGCTAAATTGTGTGGTTCTTGTTTAAGAGTGAAATTCTGACAGGCTTATTGGTTTAATTGTTCTTATTGTCAAAGATCTTTTAGAATTGAAAATTAATTTTTAAGCAAGGTTGAGAAAGAGGGACACTAATTTTAGTCTGTCAGTTTTGACAGGGCTTCTTATCCAGTAGACTTTGTATGTCTTGACTTTTAGAATAACATTTGATTTAGTACTTAGTAATGTAGAAAAAGAATACTTAAAAGACTGGCTTGATTATAAAGATCACAAGTATTAATGATGCATGGATATATTTTAGAAGTGGCAGGGGTTTGGTATTTATATCAGCAGCTTGGTCAGTATCTCCAGGTAGTTTGATCTTCTTTGCTGGGAAATCCACATTTTGTAGCAAACATTTCTTTGTCCCAGAAAGGGCCTGAGCACTCACTTATAGTGAGTAAACAAATAAATTAAAGTGAGTGAATGTTGAGGAGAGTAAATTTGCAAAAGACTTTCATCGTCTCTCAAGGAACAGTAATGCTACTTGTTAGGGAAAAAACAATGAATGCTGACAACACTGGTGTCGTGTTTAACTGTTGTGAAAAGAGCTACTGAATCTTTGTAATCTATTCATAGAAAACTTTTTATTTAAGAATAAAATGTAACTGTAAAAATACTTCAGTTAAACCTTACAATAAAATGTGCATTCTTGATGTTTTTATTGGTGAAAGAATACAGATACACATGGACATCTGGCACCTGCATGCTTCTTACCATTCACAGTCCAGAGACCACACTCGTCTACTCCTGCAAAATGTGACATGGGTGGGATTCCCAATAAAGGTAGTGAAGTCTGTTTTTACCCCTACTCAATACATTGTTCATTTGAAATTATCTTCAATTCCAACCTCAGTTGGACCCAGCCTTCTCATATTAGTCTTTGGGATATGAGTAAGCAGTCCACAAGGCCCTCACTTCACAGCTCGAGCGGTTCTATCCCTTTTAAGGACGTGAGCTTCCTTGGAGGCTCTCATTCCCATTGGTTGAGCTCCTATGCATTCCCTTCAGTGGAACTTCTACTTGGATCCCTTTGATCACACTGTTCCCCTTCCTTCTCCAATCAGGGCTGACCTTGCTTGGTGGCTAGACATAGACCAGACCATGGTGGAGTTTACTTCCTCCACATCATCTGGATTTACATCTATTCACAAACACATCCTTAGATGGTTGGACTCTTAAGAGATTTCCAGTCTCTGGTTGGTTGAGGAGTCTTTATTCCATATCAACATTCTCAAACTTTTCGTGGTCATTGAGATTTGTCCCACTTCCTTCCACTCCTGCAGGAGAGAGTGGATATAGTACACTTCAAGTCCACATTGGTCACTTATATCGCCAAGCAAAAGGGCTTCAAAACTAGGTCTCTATGCTTTCAAACCCTGGATCTCTTTTTCTATGCCCACTGTCACCACATGATGGTTTTAGTTTGCCATGTTCCTGGCCCCCCGAAACTCGTTGCAGATTGTTTATCTTGACACAAGATTCTCCCTATGGAGTGATCCCTCGATCCACAAGTGTTTCAGTATGTGTGCTCTCAGCTGGGGACTTCTCATATCAATGCTTTTTCCACCCACTGGAACAACAAGCTTCCATCCTTTTTGGTTCCCATTACACACACACCAGCTCTGGGAGGGGCTTCATTCAGTCCAAATTGGAGGGGGTCATCACATCTATGCTTATTCTCCTGTTTGACTCCTTCCCAGAGTTCTATCCCTAATACAAACAACTTCATGTTTAATCCTCCTGGTTGCTCCATTTTAGCCAGTGCAACCATGGTTCCAGCTGATCTAACCTTTGCTTGTAGAACCTCCTTTACCCTTACCTTTGTCTCGGTCTCTGCTCTGTCAATCTCAGTTGGACATCCAGATGTCCCCACCATCCATCTTAATGCATGGCTTTTGTCATGTCTGTCTCCTCAGCCAAGGAACTGACTCCACATGTTGCATCTTTCCTTTCCAGTTCCATATGATCTTTTTCCATGCCCATTTGCCACGGGCAGTGGTCTACCCTCTGCCTTTGGTTTCTTTGATGTAGTTTCCATCATTTCCACTCTTCTCTTCTTCATCTTTCCCAATTCTTTACCTGGCTGCTAGACAAAGGCTTGGCCACTTTGACTGTGTCTAGCTATCAGGCAGCCTTGTCAAACACCTTCCCTTTTCCTACGTTTCATAAAGTTTTGTTTTTCCTTGTCATTTTTCTCCTTTTCCGCTCCCTTTGGATTGTGTGTCCTCCAAGGTCCAGTGAATTGGCTGATTGGGATATTATTGTGGTCCTTGATGCCCTTTCTCATCCTCTCTTTGAACCTTTGTTTATGTTGTTGATGAGGCATTTATGCCATTAATGCTGCCCAAATCCTCTACCATTCCACTTATGTCATCTTATATCCAAACTGGTCCTATCTTCTTAAGATATATGCTGCCTATGAAAGCTGTCTGGCTCTCACACACATTTTCTTACCTTCCATCTCCCACCTGTATCCCCATTCTGATTCAGATCAACTTCTTTGTCCAGTTTGCTCCATACGGTGTTATGTGGCATGTACTGCTTCCTTTTGGGTTCTTGTTTCTGACTATTTCTTCTCTGAAATCCACCTTTTTCCTAGGATTTAACCCCTGTCACACTAACTGGTTGGGTTCATCAACTTGTTAGGCTGGTGTATTTTGTCTTACCCATGGAATGCCACTGTCTCCACAACAATTCTTCTCATTAAAATCATCATGTTGCCATGTATTTGGCTTCTTGCCTTCACTGTCCTTTGGAAGATATCATTCAGGCTGGAATGTGGACTACTCCCAATTCTTTTGTTGCTCATTATCAGCATGATCTGGCTGTATCTTCCTCAGGTGTACATCATTTCCCTCTCATGGTGATTCTACACACATTTGTTCACCATTGAATGGGGTAAGTCTTATCACATCATTTCATTTATATTTTCATTTTAGAGACCCTTTTTTTACCTCTGCTGATGGGATCCCACTCTGTGGTGGGTGTAGCCTGATTTAAACCCACACTATTTACTATTTAGCACCATAACATTCACTGTAGAAATGGTGTGTTCCACAAGATCACTGGTGGCTTGCCCAGTGGTATATACATGTGTTTCTCAATATCCATCAGTTTTACTCAGCTGTGGACTGTCACTTAATTAACATGTATCCATTCAGTGAGATGAGGGCAAAGCTGTTTTTCCTTGTTCCATTTCCCCTAGATGCTTATTCCTAGGTGGATAGTTGCCAGTTGGAGCAGGATCAGGCTATGTGGGATACTCCACATAATACCAGTATTTGGGATAACACTGCCTTGTTCCTACAGTTGTGTGCAGTAAAGGCTCACTTCTCATTAATTCTGGTTGCAAATGGTTCCTTCCCTGCTCCTACGGTTGAGTGGATGTTCCATATCGTCCTTGTAATTCCAGATGCATTATGTCTCTTCCCTCCATTTACGGTTGGGTGAGTTAAGATTTCTGCTCTTAATAATGGTTACAGATATTGTCCTGTTCTTATGGTTGGGTTGAGACAACGACACGACCCCATAATGCCAAGTTTGATTTGTTGTACTTCTTGCTCCCCTACAGTGGTCTTTGGCTGTATGCCAACTTCCTCTTCGTAATTCCAGTTGCTTGACATATGACACTGTTTACTTACAGTTGGAATTCATTGTATAAGTAATACAGACTACATGCACTAACTATGTTGTTTATATTACTCTATATTCGTTTTTATATGATTGATTCTTAACCTCCTAATGTTGAGGATCAGTGTGGAACCTCGTCTGTATGGTTAAGGTAGGGTATCTCCATATGCAAATCAGGTGTTTTTTTTACTGAGGATTGCACCTTTCAGAACGAATTACACTTGTTCACATCTTTTTTTTTCTATGTGTATCAGGTTCATTTCCTTCAAGGGTGAAGGGCATATCTGTTCTTGATGTAGTGCAGTCCACCACATGTGTATTTCAGTTCATCTTAGAGCACACTAATTCATTCTGGATGGGCACTTTCTGCTTGGTTTCAATGTTGTGTGCCTGCACCAGCCCTTTCACCTTTGAAAAGATGTGTGATTCTAGGTTTGTGTGAGAAGAGGTAAGACTGTATCAGAAGTTAACATTTTCTTGCACTGAAAATGTATGGTTTACAAACATTCCATGCACCTTTAAAGTAGCTGCAATCAAAGGGTTAATACAGGCATCCATACCATCTCTACATAGAAAGTTGTAAATTCTCCGATATTTTTGCTACTACGTTTGTAAGATGATCAAAGTTTTAGTATTCCTTCACTGTAGATATTTTCATCTCTAGCTGTTTATTGTAGCTAAGATTAAGGAATACTGGTAAAGAAATTGAACTCTAAATTGTATATGTTTCTTCCAAAACATTTGATCCATTGACTAGTTTTAGTCCAATTTTGATATAAATTTGAACTGGTTTAAATGCAGTTCTGTACTAAAGATGTAACACATTAACTTTTTTACTTGTTTTTCTTGATAGGACATACTAGTTTTATATTAATCTGATCAAATTTGGCAAAAACAAGAAATTTTAACTTTTGTGAAATTTGTTCTTTTAATTTTGACAAAGATTTAAAATGATGAATGTTAAACAGTGATAACATTATATGCGCACATTCTGAAGTACATTTAGTGCAATAATATTGTTAAGTTGAACCTCTGCAAACTCATTGTTCCACAGTTAGTGTGCAATATATAGTATTTGCTAATATTTTCACTCACAACTATACATGATTAGTAATTGGCTTAGGTGTTCTTAAACTGTATTCTCATGATTTTTTATGTATACATTGTATTTTCATGCATTAAAGTACAGTGCATTTGGTATGATATGTGATATTTATTTACCAATGTTCTTGTTTCAGATTACATAATTCTGAGCGTAATCAAAATGAAAGTTAGTACAATGAATTGTTCAGAACTTCTGCATTTGAACTACATTCCTACAGTGTGGGAAGTCTTTGATGGTAAGCTAGTACATTTAGCATGTTTTTACAAACATCGTGACATTCTCTTTGAAATTATGAATGTATGTGTGTTATACTGTATATACATGTATATATAATTGTTAGATTGATTTAAGAATGGTCTATAATATCACACCAACATAAGTTACATTAAACAATTCCCAATTCACATTAAAGTTAAATTTTATAATTAATTTCTCATTACCATTTCATCATCATAGGACTACTTATTACTTGTGTGTGAAAGTATAGTACATAATTATTTCATGTTTTATGTACAATTAATTCTGTGTGTATGGGTGGGGGTAGAAATATACAAGCTATGACTTTTACACATGGTAACATTGTATTTGATGATATAGTTATTAACTATTGGTTTCACCCTACATTGCTGATTTGGCAACAGTTTGTAGTAGAGGAAGGTAAATACCATATAAAATATATAGAGATAGTGAATAAAACTGTAGATATGCATTTCAGGGGCTCTAGATATTATTCAAATACAATATCAGGAACCACAATAGTAGTTCTTAATAGGGATCGCAAGGAATTCCACAAAACCTTAATAGAATGTTCAGGCAAAAAACACCTTAATCAGTAAAGATTCAGTTCAAAAAACACTTTAAAACCTTTACTATTGACTGCTAAGGCTGTGCACATATAAAAAATGCATAAAAAAAAGCATGCTCAACACAGCCCATTTGTAATTACTATTATTATTCTTTTTATCATTATTATTATTATTATTCTCTTGCCAGCCTACAACAAACATGGCTTTGTATGTTGCACCCAAACCTTTTGTAGAATGTATATAAATGTAATAGTACTATCTGTTGTATGTCCACATAACTAATTCGCAGAGTGGGAATGGATCTTCACTATAATTGGTATGGAGGTTCATTAGGTCTATGCAGGGGTACATACAAATTCTCAGTTTTGCAGTTTTTACCATTACTGCACCCCCCTGTAGATGATTCTTCACCAAATTTGGTATGGAGGTTGATGGGGAGATACATGCAAATTTGGGGTTTCACATTTTGTGTTTTGCAGTTTTTATGGGCATTTTTGCATTTTATACAATTACATATAAGGGAAACGACTTTCATGTCCTGAGATAATCTTTCATTAATCATGAATTTACATAATTTCCATCCAGGAGATGGGTAGTCCAGCTAATACTAAATAAGGTACTGCAAAGGTCATAGGGATATTGAAAAGTCAGTTTGTTTCTTCTATATTTTAAATACGCTAAAAAGTATCAAAATTCTAGTGAAATGACGCGATCATCACCCCTTGAAGTTAGCTTTCTTATATCTGGTGTTCCTTTAAAAGCCTTAAATACAAGGTGAAACAGGAATTACAGGACTGAAGAATATGTCACGGTTCTTTATGTCTGATACGGATTCCCAACCAATCAACAGTGCAGTATCAGCACTGTAAACTTTAGACTGAAGAATATGTCACAGTTCTTTGTCTGGTACAGATTTCCAACCAATCAAAAGTACAGTACCAGCACTGTAAACGTTAGACTGAAGAATATGTTACGGTTCTTTATGTCTGGTACGGATTTCCAACCAATCAACAGTGCAGTATCAGCACTGTAAACTTTAGACTGAAGAATATGTCACGGTTCTTTATGTCTGGTATGGATTCCCAACCAATCAACAGTGCAGTACCAGCACTGTAAACGTTAGACTGAAGAATATGTTACAGTTCTTTATGTCTGGTACGGATTTCCAACCAATCAACAGTGCAGTATCAGCACTGTAAACTTTAGACTGAAGAATATGTCACGGTTCTTTATGTCTGGTATGGATTCCCAACCAATCAACAGTGCAGTATCAGCACTGTAAACTTTAGACTGAAGAATATGTCACGGTTCTTTATGTCTGGTACGGATTCCCAACCAATCAACAATGCAGTATCAGCACTGTAAACTTTATACTGAAGAATATGTCACAGTTCTTTATGTCTGGTACAGATTCCCAACCAATCAACAGTGCAGTACCAGCACTGTAAACGTTAGACTGAAGAATATGTCACGGTTCTTTATGTCTGGTACGGATTCCCAACCAATCAACAGTGCAGTGTCAGCACTGTAAACGTTAGACTGAAGAATATGTCACGGTTCTTTATGTCTGGTATGGATTCCCAACCAATCAACAGTGCAGTATCAGCACTGTAAACTTTAGACTGAAGAATATGTCACGGTGCTTTATGTCTGATATGGATTTTCAACCAATCAACAGTGCAGTATCAGCACTGTAAACTTTAGACTGAAGAATATGTCATGGTGCTTTATGTCTGATA